GATGGAAGTTTCATCACAAATTTTTGGAACAAATTTGTGACGCGTTCATGACAATAAAACTTATTCCATAAATAATGTCTCAACTTTGTAACGGATCTTAAATTTTTGTCACAAAATATTCGTGACAAGCAAATTCGTGACATACACCGTTTCGTCGCAAATTCAGTCACAACAACGTTTGGGAAGGAATATCCGTCTCATAGCAAAATGCTTGTTTTCTTGTAGTGTTCATCATCATTTTAATTCGTTTTCAAAATGACAACAAACATCAAAAATCATGGATAGATGTTTTCTTTTGTGTCATTTTTTGTAATGTTAACTAACAATAAATATGGAGTAAAGTACTAATGGATAGGTGATATTAATAAAATAGAAATGGTAATAAATAATGAAAATGATGAAAAAGTGACATGATTTGGAGTAAGGAAAGTAAAAATATGAAAGGAAATGGTCCAAAACTCACACAATAAAAGTGAATGGTTACAAAGTAAAGTTGAATATATGAATTGGATTAGGGGTGAGTTAGAATAAGAAAATTAGGGCATTTTTTCTCCTAATTATCAATTAAATTATATTATTTGAAATAGATTTTTCATTTACATTCATTTGTTTGATATATATATATATATATATATATGAATAACAAATAGTGTTAGCAAAAAAAAGGGCAAAAATCGAGTTGGCCTGAATTTCCAACTTTGTCGCAGAGTCACAAATTGGAGGAGTCACCTCACACGTGGTCGCCTTTGATGGGACAAGACGCTCGACATCTACACGCGTGAACTAAGGAGATTTTTCTCTTCTCAAACCCTACCCACACGTGAGCATTTTCCCTCTCCTTCTTTGTCGGGCCCACCCCACCCTTATCCTTCTCACCTCTTCCCATCCATCCCACCCATTACTGGATTTCAAATTATATCCCTTTTTTACATCACAAAAAAGTTTGTATGAATTTTATATAATTTAAATTACAAAGATGTATTTTGAATAATATTTGAAATCATGATCAGCGAATTTTTCATAAATTATATTTTTATATACTTTTATAATGAAAAAAATATAAGTATAGATTTATTATAATAATTAGTATACATGACAAATATATTAGTCTCTAATAATAATTAATATCATAGATATATACTAACTGGATGTGGTACAAATAGTAGTGGTTTGTATTCCCTAAACATTATTCTAAAATTTAATTCCCGAAGCTGTGTTTAGAGCTCATTGTTTGAAAAAAGATAACCCCTTAAATGATCTTATTTTTTCTAGAGGTTAGGCTCATAGTTGGCGGTTGTAAAGATATTTTGGGCAACAAAAAAAAATCATGGATATATTATTTTTCTCCATAAGTAATTAATTACTTGATTATTAATGAAACTGTATAGTTACCTATCATATATATATATATATATATATATCAAGGACGCATAACTATAGATATTAATGGAGAGAGGGGAACATTGAAACAATAAAGAAAAATACAAATAATAAAAAATTTACAAAGATGATATAACACAGACTCAGATCACAAACAAAAAGCTAAGGTTGAATATTATATTAAGAATGCCGCTATATCTTTTCTGACCCAGGGTGGATATGGTTTGATGAGGAATTAGGCAATTTCGGGATGAGGATATGATAGCTGAAAATGGATTATAATGCCCGCTCGTCCTTTAAATCTATAGAAAAAAAAAATGTATATAGGCATATGGCAAGAAAAATAATGAAAAATAACTTGATAACTGGCGAGTGTATCTTTCTTGCATAGTGATTTTACGATGCACATAGTATTTTTCTTCGTTAAATGTCATCTATAGAAGCTAATCGCGCATTAAAAAATGGTGTGGAAATTTCACAACATCTTCTAGCTATTTCCGTACTAAACTATGGAGTCCGATCCCTCGTCTTTTCATGGTGCATAAGATGGCCATAACTTTTATTGAAATGTGCTTTACCATAGCCAAACCTGTTTTCTTTCAGTTTTATGACCAACTTTTTTCCCGTTAGTTTTACATACGATCGGGTTTTGGTTTCTCTGGAAATGGGACTGCTAGCATGCATGTATTATATTTGCATGATATTATCTTTTTTGTTTTCCCATTGCACTGTTTCAGGGAATAACCTTAAACTTTTACTTACTTATCTTTTTTTTTAATCAATCTTGTCGACCAACCAAAGCATGTTCCATTATATCTGTCATAATGGTTCCATGCATGTTTCACCAGCACCCTGCAGAACAGTATTATATAAATTAATATATATACTATATATCCATCAGTTCACATGAATCATCAAGAAATATATTACTTTATAGTATAGCAATAGTTTATATTATCTTCGCAAATATTGGAATTAAAGTATAACGGAAGGATTAGTGCCTACCATAGCTAGCATAGTTGCACATATCGGTTTGGACCATCTATACAGTTTGCCTTACAATGATAGCTACGTGAATCTAACCTTAAATAAAATAATCTGTTTTATTTTGAACAAATATTATATATAACTGATGATTGTATAATAGAATAAACGAAAGCTTACAAGCACATACATAATAAACAAGATAAGCCTAATTACCATTTGCCTGATGTTCTTCCACCTTTGTCTACATTATCTATGTTTCTGGACCACAAGGCAACTATAAAACAGAGCAACAAAGCTTATTAGTTGAATCTCTTAGTTACAAGTAACTATATATTGATTTCTTTTAAAATAATGAGACATGTAATCAGTGCAGGCTAAATTGACAGGCATCTACATCTTTCTGAAATAATGAATTCCACTGGTCCAGATGTTGATAATGATTCTTCATTAAAAGAAGAGGCTACTATATATATATATACACACAGAAAATACAGTGGCACTATATAAGAAGTTGAATTTGTTATATGCTTTGTACATTTCCGCTCCTACAGTGCATATGGTCCTGTCAATACAGATAATAGCTGAAAGCTGAAAGGGGTAATAATGGCTAGGGGTTCATGCTTCCACCTACTCTGTGACTCCATATTTATATTTGTTGAGGACGAAAGAGAGAAGCGATACAAGCCCAGTGTGCCACTTTGCCTGATTCATCTGAATTGCTAGCTTTAGGACCAGCAGATTTAAAGGTCTTCGAAATATGCAAAAGGCTCGCCCAAATTATGAATTCCACAATCTCATTTGTTGGTGTTGATCATTATTAACCTTGACTTTTGTGTTGTACACAACAGGACATGAGTCTAGTTAATTAGTTTTTCAAGTGAAAGGCTTTAATATTGTCAGTGGTTTTTAAGCAGGCAATCAGAGGACTACAGAGATTTCTTTTTTAGGCATGTTCTGAAGAAGAATTTCAACTACCCTAATCTTAGATTGGATTATTATAATCCTCTAGTCTATTTTTAGCTGTTGAAAAGCTTACACCGATCCTTAGGAGAGTTTTCTATTTATGAAGCGCTCCACCTCACTGCAAAGAAAAATAAAAATAAAAATTGTCATCGACACCAACTTCTCTCCTTCATGCTGACAGTTGTTTCCTCTAAAAGACAAGACAAAATAAATATATAATTGCTATACTACTTTGATACATAGGATAAAGCACGACAAACGAAGTTGCAGAATAAAAATTTGTCAATGGGACATATTGAAGAATCTTATCAGCAGCCTACCAGAATAATTTTTGGGATGTCCCGTGCCATTGAACATCAGTATCAAGTATGAACTGTATTTATGCAATCATTTTAATGCTCACCAAGTAGGATATTGTTTGAACTGTGGGTTAACAAGTCCTGTTTAATCAGTGCCTGATCACTGTTTTTTTTTTTTTTTGGAAGCAGCAGGACTGCGCTTCTTAGATTATTTTTTTTTTATTGGTCTGACGATTTTTTAAGTCTTGTTTGCACCGCGTTAATGATGAAATTTATGTTTGAATTTTGATGCACTAGAAAGGAACATTACCCACGTATGAATTTCTTTTATATGCTCAAGAAAATAAAATGTAGTCAGCCTTATTAAAATTTTTACTAGATTCTAACTGAAGAGGAGTGAGAGAACTTGCCAACTTTGGTCTTAGTAAATCGACTATTTAAGTATGAGATCTGAGTTTGAATATTTGTAAATGAAAAAAACATATTTTTGAGAAAGCTACCCTCAACTAGGCCTTCAATTCTGACCCAATCAAATAGCCATGAGAGAAAGAGAGAGAACTTGAATCCATTTTTTTTAGTTTTTATTACCTACCATTCCAATGAGGGTGAAGGCAAAACAGGACTGTCTTGTGCTTCCCGAGACTGGACTACAAGCCCTTAGAATTTTACATCGTGGTTGGCTCATCAGCTAAAAGCCTAAAACCACTTGGCCCATTACTATATCCCCCATTTTGGTGAAATTTTATATTTCTCCAACCAAGAAAATGGAAGAGAAAAAACGAAGGGGAAAGAGTAAGATGACCCCAAAATTTAACCTCCAAATGTTTTTCAATTTAATACAATGCCTTAAATAGAATTATTTCTAATATAAAAATACTTGTGCATAAAAAAAATTAAAATAAAATCATTTTGCAAAATCATCTCTAAGGTATCTCAAAGACAATCATGTGGAATAAATTAGCTCAAGTGATAAAAGTGAAGTAGGGTGTGGGAAAATCTCGATAAAATAGATAAAATTTAAAAGAGATTAATATGAATGTAACAGGTACGTTTGATGCCAATGCGCTTCAGTTATTCTCATTTCTCTATCCTCTCGTGTATCAGTTTTAAAGACCTCCCTTTTTTGTACTATCCATTCTTTGAACAGACAAATACAATAAATAGAGAAAAGCTTCATTTTACAGCTTGGTTTAACGTATTATAAAGCATTCAAATATATTAACCAGATCTTGTAAAATGTGTGCTGCCTAATCGTGTTATATATATATATATATATAAAATAAAAAAATTGTTTCTTAAAATTGTTCAAGAGTTATCAATTATGTGACTTCAATTCATATCTCATCCTTCCTGGTAAAAACAACTAAGATATTTATCACTGTCCAATAAATTATGGATATGTATATATAGAAAAAAATTGAGGGAAAAGTTACAATTAATCCAAAAAACTTGAACTACCTATATAATATCTAACAGAGTGGCTGAATTTATCTTGTAAACGCAACGCCTTGTTTCTTTTGCAGCAAGCTGCAAACCTCTTCACCTGTTTTATCTATTTCTTGAACTTGTTTATTTCCTCGGAGCCCAAAACCCAATATCTACATACTACATTCGTCTTCAGTGTCATCCTACCATCTGAAGGATTGCTCCCCTAAATTTGCGCAACATGACCAAATTCATCTGGCTTCAAGTAAGCTCATTGTCACTTCATTGGTTGAGCTACATTGCTTTTGATGCGGTTCAGCTGAATCTTTCCCATGAAAGAAACCTGGCTGCTTAGGCTCAGCAAGTTCTACTTCACTTTCCAACATCAAAACTGCAGATGCTATAGTGGGCCTATCTTCTGGACGCTGCTGTACACACAATAAACTCACATGAATAGATCTCAATATTGATGATACATTGCACGTCTCCTCTGTGTTCTGATCAATCAATTCTAAGACCCTTCCTTCTGTCCACAGTATCCATGCCTGAAACACAGGACTGGCTTATCAGTTATACCATTTTGGTCTGTCACAAATAGAAAAGCCTGGAAAACCATATATAGGCTACTCACATAACCAATAAGGTTGTGCTTAGAGTCTTCTAGATAAAATCCTCTATTTTTCTTTCCACATATAATCTCCAATACCAATATGCCATAACTGAAGACATCAGATTTCACTGAATATAGCCCATCTGCAGCATATTCTGGTGCCATGTATCCACTATAGAATACCCATTAAAAGTTTAGAATAAAACAATTAAAGAAGACATAGAAAGGATGGAACACGATAATTATAAAGTAATAGTTGAGTAAAAGACTTACTAAGTTCCAACTATTTTATTTGTATTGCCTTCTGTTTGCTCTTCTCCAAAAGTTTTAGCTAACCCAAAATCTGATATTTTTGGGATCAACTTGTCATCAAGTAAAATGTTACTTGCTTTTAAATCTCTATGAATAATTTTCAGTCTTGAATCTTGATGAAGATATATAAGACCTCTACCAATTCCCAGAATAATGTTGAATCGTTCAAACCAATTTAACCGCTTTCTTTCAATTTCATCTATAAATATATAAAAAAGTAAAAATGGCATATGATGAGAATTAATAATTCAAAATTGATAAAATGTGTCATCAGTCATTATTAAGAATTTAAGATAATCCATGCAATTAAAAATCATATTAAATTTATACCAAAAATGAAGGAGTCCAAACTTCTATTTGACATGTACTCATACACCAACATTTTTTCTTGCTCATGGATGCAACAGCCAAGAAGTTTCACCAGATTTCGATGCTGGAGTTTTGCAATAAATTTTACTTCATTTTTAAACTCTACCAATCCCTGTCTTGATTTTATTGAAAGCCTCTTCACCGCAATTTCTTGTCCATTCAATAGCTTTCCCTGCACACATGTAGGCATTTTGTGAGCCTATCATGATATGATTTATCAGCGGATTGTTCTTGGTTTACAATTCAAATGTTGAATTACCCAATAAACAGGTCCAAATCCACCTTCTCCGATTTTGTTCTTATTTGAGAAGTCATCAGTGGCGCTTGCTATTGTTGCAAGATCAAACAAAGGCAGATCTAGATCATCCTCTGGACCCTCATTGTATTGAATATCGTCTCTTACATCTTTTGATTTAGCTGAAAGCATGGTAGAAAAACATACTTTCTGTACAGCATTGGAGAAAAATGGAAAACCAGTCCATATTGATCAACATGCTAAAATGGCAAAACATTTGACGTACTAAATATCAATCTACTAGATTTTGATTGGGTAAAACTTTGCATTAACTATACTGTCAAGCTAAACAAAGATTGAAATTTTCTGACCGTACTTATAAATGTGTTTATTGGCCAAACGGAAAGCATCGTTCAATATTAAAGCAACAAAGAAAATGAAATTCTACTGAAGAGTGCAAGTATAGATGCAAGGACAAATCAACAAAAGTGATAGTTTGTGTGAATAACTCCTGCTAATTTACCATTATCGACTAATAATTGCTCATTCTAGTGACAGGATTAGAGTACAGGAAGAAAGATTGCGAACGAAGTCCTCTGTTCAGCAGGTTAAAGGTATGCTACCTTAATTCCAGACTTCATATCTAATCTATAGTCCTGTAGTTGACTTTTACTTGGCAAGATTTTAGCACCATCTTTACAAATAATAGACAAATACCTGGCTAGTCCTGCCGGCTGCCGTATGAGTTCATAACAATCACCGCAATTGCAGGAAGAAACAAACTTTGGGACATAACGAAAAATAAGACCAAGTAACTTTACCAATTCTGTTTCTGCGGACTCTGTAGATGACACAGCCTCCAACTAGCATACCAAAAATTGCACCAATGGTGATAGTAACAATCATAGTCAACATCTTTTTATTCCCAGATTCTGCAATCGTGGTTGCGATAATTCAAACTTTAAGAAACTAAGGTGAAATCATAAATTGAAAGGGTTAACTCAAATGCTGTCAAACATGCAAATGAACATATAAATAAGAAAATAGACGTCTTTACCTAATTCTGAAGCATCCATTCGAACGTATAGATCCTGCCCCCCAGATGCATAATATCTAATATCAGTTAGATCACCAAACCATAAGGCACAACCACTACCTTCCCCTCTGATATCTGAATCAGCATAGGCCGTGCAAGAACAATTCTCCAAGCACTTCAGTCTGCATTGCTCTAGATTCATTGTCTCGTCAAGCCAAGAATGTGTAGTGTCTGGCACCTTCATGCCCGTCATTTTAATGAACCCGTCCTTTTCTTTCTCTGAGCAGTTCAGAGGTTTCTGTCGGACACACCCATCTGCCCAGTCCACCGAATTCCAATTCCGTGGCGACATAGGCGTAAAACCTTTCAAGCATTGACACACCGGCGATTCAGAAATGATGCAATTCCCATTTGGTCCACAGAGGCCATAGGTGTCGCAATAGTCTACTGGCTTTGTCGAATAAACCTGCCATGTTTTTGTAGTTTCCAGCCACACATAACGATACCGAGCAGATTCTGTTTGGTTCAATACCAATCTTGTCAATACAGAATTGTTATTCCAAATGTCCATGTAGTAGATCCCATCCTTACTGTTGACAAAGGTGTATTGAAAAACAGGGTTGGGCTTTATCTCAGGTCCACCACTCCCATGAACGCCATTCCACGGTCCAAATCGGTAGAATCTTTTGTTTCCCTTCATCAAATACGAATCGGGGTAGCCATGAAGCACTTCAACACTAGTCAAATCTCCAGGAGATGGATCATCTGGGCTCTTCCAAGCTGTTAAATACCACTGCCAACCAGTTTTTAAGTCCCATCCGTATTTCATGCCGGGCAACAAGGTATCAGACGGATAGTCAAAGCTTTGCCATAAATAAGCGTCTGGGTCTGCTCCGTCCTCATCTATCACCACCAGATTTCCCGAATCCAAGAGCCGGGCGGTTGGACTCTCTGCTTTTGCCGTGGAATTTGTAGACCAAAGAACGGTGTTGTTTTGGGACAGGACAAGATTGCCGGAAGTGGTCATAGTTAAGGTGACAGATGAATCGTTGATTGGGTTGAGGCGGTTTGCAACCCAGACAACGGTTTGAACCGGAATGTTCTTGTACCAAATACCGAGGTAACGTTTGATGGAAGTTCCAGGAGAGAAGAAGCCAAGTTCAAAGGTTTCATCTTTTGAAACCAAGGTGGTCCCATCGTCCCCAATAGACTCGGACGGACGGAGGGTATCAGCTGCCATGGAAGGCTTGAGGGTGGAAAGAAGGAAGAAAACGAAGACACTAAAGGAAGGAAGGAGGGCCATGAAAAGTAGAACAAGGGCAACGAGTGAGAATGAGCTTTTTGTGCGCCAAGCTTCTGATGGATTGCTGAGACGAGAATGTCAGACGAGCAACAGTTGATAACTTCATACTTGAAAGCGTTACGCAGTATACAGACAAATGTGCTTTGGTGCAACTGCTGATTTCATATCATTTATGGGTTTACTCTTTGACTTTGAAAAATGATTGACTGATGGATTTATTTAGCTATTTATTTGTGGAACCTTGTGCTCCACATCGACTTGGAATGGTAAGGTTGGCTATAAATAACTGAATTCAATTCAATGCAGTGCCCGTGCCGTGACGTCTCTTGATTAAGGAAGAAGTTTCTAAGTTTTAATTAATTGAAACTTTCATAAATATAACTTATTTTATAAGATTAAAATAAACAGTTAAATATTTATTATATTTTATATTATCATTAATTTATTATATTTGTTAATTATACATTATTGTATACAAATAATAAATTTTTTTATAAATTTTAAACCTTTTATTGATAAACTCTTTATACATTAATGATAAATCTATTGAATATCAATATAAACTAATCACATTTCAGTAAATTTATTCTAATTAATTTATGTTTTAAAAATTTGTATCTTTTCAGTTTTATCCTTAATTAAAGCTAAGTATTTTCGTAGTTTTATTTTAAAGGGGACCAAGTATTTTCATTTAATCTTATGATTCATTTCTGCCTACAAAAAAATTAAGATCATTTGTGCATTTCAGTAATTGCTCATCTAATATTGCTTTTGAATAAAGTAGGAGGGCAAAAAATATAATTTCATGAAACGAAAAAAAAAAAATCCTAAATTTCCAATGAAAAATAAAAATAATTTCTTAAACACAAACAAAAGAATCTAGAGCAAATAATGCACTGCAACAAAAATATATTCATTTAAGCATAAAGTAAATAACAATGACATAATCAACATTAAACAAACATAAGCTTGAGAAAATTAACTTTATTGAGAAAGCCATCTTCAGTTGAGCCCAACAATACTTAAATTTAATCTAATATAATAATCATATAAAAAAAGGAAAAGTTAACTTTATTTATAAGGTACTAAATCATATACGAAGAACCCACCAACATTAAAATTTGACCCAATTTAATAATCATATAAGAAAAAAGAAAAAAAGATATCTTTATTCACAAGATACTAAATCATATTTAATCATATCTCCTCCATTATTTTTATCATAAAAAGCATAAATATAACGGGCTTATAGCCCAGAGTATTTTTTTTTCTTTTTGCCAGTAGCCCAAGTTACTTATTATAACCATTTTCATCAAATTCGTCTATAAATTTTATTTGTTTATTTGGCTAACTCATTGGGTTGAGCTGAATTTTTGGCTTTAATCTTCCGTATTAATAATCTATTCATGAGAAAGAAGATGGAGAAGAACTGGGGGTTCCAATTGGAGATCGGTTAAAATGAGTCTGAGTAATACAAAAAACAAAGACACACAATACCATGTACTTCAGAAGTTCAAATACAATCAATCTTACTTATTTTGATTATCAACGGGCTTCCAACTGGGAAATGGTTATTTCATTGTTTGATTTAGATTTCACATGACTAGAGGATGAAAATGCTTTCATTGAAAACTCTTTCACAAAGAAACCAGGTTGGTCAGGTGCACCCAATTCAATCTCACTTCCTAACATTAAAACCACCGATGACATGGTAGGCCTATCTTTTGGACGTTGTACGTTTATAATCAGTTTAGTTCATGACTGCTCGTGATCACGGAAGGATTCCTGAGATTATAGGTGTGGTAGACCTCATATTTGTTGGAAAAAAGTTGCAATAGAAAAGGGGGTTGGGCTTTGCTTCTGGTTCACCGCTTGGATGCAGGCCATACCATGGTCCAGTTCTGTAGTTTTTTTTATCTCCTTTCTTTAGATAAAACTCAGAACACATGCTTAGCTATAAAGCAAAAGAAAATTAAAGTTGCCTGGTAATGGATCTTCTTCCAAGCTGTCATACTCCTATTCAGACCATTTCTGGAGTCACATCCCAACTTCATACCTAGCAACACTGTGTCAGATGGGCAGTCGAAGCTCTGCCACAAATAGGCTTCTTGTTATGCTTCGCTCTCATTTCTTACCACAAGATTCCCGGAATCTAAGAGCTCGGCCACTGGATTCTGCACTTGTTTCTGCGAAGTGGAGTGCCATTGGACAGTGTCATTTTGTATAAGGACAAGGCGGCCAGTGGTGTCAAGTGTTAAGGAGGCTGCAGAGGAATCATTGATTGGGTTGACTCCGTTTGCTACCCAAACCACTGTCTGAACTGGGAAGTTCTGGTACTAAATTCCCCCATAACGTTTCTTGGAGTTTCCAGGACTGAAGAAACCAAATTTAAAGCTTCCACCTTTTGAAACTTATACCATGCCATCGCTCATTGAGAAACTGGACTTAAGGATAGAATCAACTGCCATGGAGGATTGAAGAGAAAGGACAAGTATGAAAGCAAAGACTGTGATGAAAGAAAGAATGTCAATGTAGTTACTAATAATGCAGAGTCAGGTGAGGCACTGATGGATTAACAAAATATATTGCTTGCTGCACTTCTGTACTCTCATATGTTTGTGGAATTGAGATGGTTCTCTGTTAGACACATTTCATTCAAGGTGTATAATCAAGCTTGAAACCTTTTCCACAGCATTGTAATTACGCATAACAAGTATGGGTGGAATTTTAGTTGCCATAGTGCATGAGGTAATTAATAGTCAGAGTCATTGTCACTTACGAGTTGGCTGGTCCAATGACCTCATGGATGACATAAAAGGATCTCTGAAGTCTTTCATTCAAGTCTGGAAGACTAAACTTATACCATAAGTCTTCTGTTATGCTTTGCCAGGAGAGAAAAGCAATGAACCGGGAAAAGTGAAGGAGAAAGTGGAGAAAAAAAATGACATTTTCTAAGATCCAGTTTCGGTGCTAAGCGCAAAGATAAATAGGAGGAACTCATCCACAAAACGCTTTGTTTTAATAAAAGAAATGTTAATCTTGGCCATCCAATTTTTAGTCTTAACCGTTTATTTATTTATACTTTCACTTCATCAAACCCTTGATGGCTTTGGCGTTTCCTTCCCAGCTTCTCTGTTGGCTTAGCTGTCATGAGTTTTTCAATCTCATTGGTGATTTCTTTCTCAATCACGATCGACACTCTTTATTTGTTGTCCATCTTTCTTGATTTCCTTCACTTGATCATCTCTCTTTCTCCATTATCGATAGAGAGGCTTGGAGCATGTCATCTAATCTGCCAGGTGCTACTCTTCCTTTTTCAATTGACGGCATGGAGGTACTTCGGCTAGATGTGAATTTTTTTTCTCTTTCTTTTTGGTTAATATTCTCTAATCTCTAATATCCAATAACAAAGAGGCTTTTCAATTTCTAGACCTACGGGCCCTCACGCCTCGTTGAATCTTTTTACCAAATTAAGGAAATGAATTGTATTTTAGTAAATTAGCCTATTAAGAAAGAAAAAGAAAAATCTTGCTCCATTGAGATTGTGTTTAGAGTGAGTTATTTTTTTCTTTTAAAAGCTTGTTGACAATGGCAAATATTCTCCTAATTTAATACTTCAGAGCAAGCTTTTGAATTTGCAGACATGATCATATTTTAAAGCTTGTCTCACATGGAGCCCACTTCATCAAACTTGTCTCCATTCCCGTTTGTTTTTGTCGGACAAGCACAAGCTTTTGGATGAGCAGCAAAAGGAGGAACAACTCCCGAATTTCAAAATCAATTCAAATTAAAAGGATCGATTCAAACCAATTTAAATTAAAAGAAATCGATCAAAACCAAATAACAATCAAGTCTGTTTTGATTTTTATAATATGAAAACTGATTCGTTTCGTTTAAGTTCAGTTTTGAGTATAAGAAACCGAATTAAATTGAATCAAATTTGATTAAAAAATATTACTTATTTATTTATAAAATATATAACCATTTATCTACAAAAAGCATTTTGTTTTGAATTTTTTATAGCAATAGATAAATATTTTTAAAGGATTTGAATGAAAATATATAATATTAAATAATTATAATAATGATGCTATGACCATCATTTAATTATTTATAACTTGAAAGTCTCAGTATTCAATTTATTTACAAGAAGCATTTTGTTTTGAATTTTATATAATAAGTTTTTTATTATTTATTAAAATATAAATATATAGATAAACATTTTTAAAGGATTTGAATAGAAATGCATAATATTAAATAATTTTAGTATTAAAAACTTATATCAATTTTTATGATTAATTATCGTTATCACATTAAAATTTTATTATATTTTTATATCTCTATTTATGAAAAAAAGAGTCAAAAAGAATTAGATTTAATTTTAATACATAACACTATTATGAAGATGAAAAAAAAATTAAATAAGTTCATTGAAGTCCGACCTAAACCTTAATCAAATCGAACTAAATCAAAAATTAAATCAAATTAAACCGAGCTCCATAAAAACCAATCAGGTCTCAATTATGAATAAACTGAATGGTTTGATTTGGTTTAGTTTTCGACCAAAATTAAATTAAATCGAGCTTATGAATACCCTTAGCTTGAACCCCTTATGAACGAGCAGCAAAGGGGGGAACAACTTGAACAAGCCAAATGCAAATTTATTATTTTTCAAAGGAGCCTTGGACGACATCGTTTTAGCAACCTAATGGCTGAATCTCCTATCCCTTTTTATTAAAGCGGTACAGTTTCACTGCTGAGCTCCTTCTGCTTATCTTTGCACTTAGCACTGAAACTGCATCCCATTTTTTCACGTTTGGCTAAGAAAAAAAAAATGAAAAAGGGAGGAAATTGAAAGAAAAATAATATGTGGAACTCACATATTTTTATCTTTAACTTTTTTCTCTTAATAGGGAGATATTTTGAAGAAACAATTCAATTTTTAAACTTACATTTAAATATTTTGTTGTCTCCCTTCATTCTCATCATAATTTTCCATACTTTAAAATTTAGATTATTATACATTTAGTAATTATAGAAATAAAAATTAAAATTGGAAAAAAAAATTTTGCTAGCGTCGGATAAAAAATTCACAATTATATTTTTCTTTAATCAATAATATATAAGAAAAATTATATAAATAATATGTTAAAATATTAAACTTTTTATATATGAATTTTTTTTATAGATAACAAAGTTATTATTGTCTATATAAAATTAACAATTTTTTTTTTCCACCTTTCTCCGCTTAGCCAAGTATTGGGAGAGAAAATTGCATCATTTTTATTTTTCTGTTCTCTTCATTTCCTTTCCTCACATTTTCTCTTTACCTTATTTTTACTTACAAGCCAAGCACAACATTGGAGACTTGTAAGAAGAAGAAAAGTAGTTTCTCTCTATCTTCCTCTTCTTTTCACCTAAAGAGGTAGCTATTTTGTAAGGCATTAAAAATCTTATACACTAGTTGTTAGAAAACTATTTTCTAATAAAGGAAAGGAAAATGCACTCAACCTATTTTTTTAGATACATTTCTTGCTTTTTGGTTTCTTTACAAAAATCTTTTCCACTTATTAAACATGTATTTAATCTTCAAAAGGTAAAGCAATAATCAATTTGAAGGATTCAAAACATTCCTTAGCTAAGACAAGAAAATATGGGTTATAACAGCTAGTTAGAAGTGGATAAGGACATCGGCACCTATTCAACGGGCACTGATACATAATTGTGGTATTAGCAAAAGATAATAGTGTTTATGATTTGGGACAATTTGCTGGTATTAGATATATACTCCTTTGGATTGCGGTGTAAATTATAGTTAATTAATTTATGATTTATGAATAATATTAATTAAAATCTTAAATTCTTTAAAAATATTTATATCTTTTATTTATATCATCATTAAATACTCTATATAAAAGCCTTAATAATAGTAATTAAAATTTTAATATATAATTTTTTTAAAGTATTAAATGAAATAGGGGTATAATTTAAAAAATAAATATAAAAATTATCCATCACCTTCCATTTTGAATTAGGTAAGATTTTAAAAGATGTTTTATATTATACTTGAGAGAAGTAGTATTTGGTCATTTAGTAGCATGTAATGCAATTATAGTAGTGTATAAATGTAGCACGAACCATATAGCTTAATTGGTAAAATTATGAATAACCTTAATATTTAAGGATTCACCTTTTGGCGTAAAATATACGACCCTTTCCAATAAATGAGTGCTGCCTACCAGCCAAAATGTATAACAATAACTTTCTTTCTTTTTTCCCCCTTTTTAAATATGTCGTCCCAGGGTTAGCAGTTACTTCATGATATTTTTCTTCCATACCTTAGATATTTGAAGGCATCATTATTATATTAAATGCCAAAATTAATTTTGAATCCTAACACTTTATTCAAATTTTATTATAGGTTATTGCATTTTTTTTATATTTTATATCCCTATAATAACACTCATTGAGGAACATATAATACCGAAAAACAAAAGTGTAGAAATTTAAAAAAAATACAAAAACTTATAATAAAACTCGAGCAAAATGTAAGAACTCAAATGTATGTTTTTCCTATTAAGTATCACATATCCAAAGAAAAAAAAAATTGTTCTAGTTCCCTCTTGTATATCAAACAATCTAAACACAGGTTATTTTCGCATGGCCAAGGAGTTAGGGTACCCACCCACCTAATATAGGCAAATTTGACAGAATTCAGAGACAGATCATATACATAACTTATAAGACGTGAAGAATTGTCAATTTATACTTGATGCTTCCTGGCAAAGTGAAGTTCGTGACAATTAAGGAGTTCGTCCATATCATCATCCATCGCCATGTATCAACCCAAGAAAAGAAATTGATGGAGAAGACAGAACAAATAAAATATGTACTTTAACTATTTGTACAATCTCTAACAAAGTGGTTCAATTTATCATGTTATTGGTGTCACAAGTTGCGCTGCCAGCTTCTTCACTTGGTTTATCTATTTCTTGAGCTGCTATCTTATCACCGTTCTTAATTTCCCATGAGCCCAGACCCAATTTATATCTGCATTTGTCTTCAATTTCATTCCACATACTTCTTGATTCTGCAATGAAGGTTCGCACACAACAATAGCAACTCCTAAGCCAATCGCCAAACCATGATTTTTAATTTACTTGTACCTCCTAAAGCATAGTTACACTATACTTACTGCTCAATATAATCAATTTCATCTGGCTTCCAGTAAGGTGATTGTCACTTCATTGGTTGAGCTACATTCCTTTGGACTTGATTTGGAAGTGTGTGGTTGAACTGAACCTTGTCCATGAAAGAAACCAGGCTCTTTAGGCTTGGGAAGTTCAATTTCACTTTCCAACATCACGACTGCAGATGCTATGGTGGGTCTGTCCTCTGGATTTTGTTGCACACATAATAGACTCACATGAATGCACCTTAATACTTCTGATACATTGCACATATCTATGTTCTTATCAATCAATTCTAAAACCCTTCCTTCGTTCCACAGTATCCATGCCTGAAACTCACAACTTGGTTATTATTTATCCCATTTCAATTTGACCAACCAAGAAAAAAAAAAAAGGATATTGTATATCAACTACTCACATGACCAATAAGGTTGTGCTTGAAGTCTTCTAGATAAAAACCTCTATTTTTCTTTCCACATATAATCTCCAACACTAATATACCATAACTGAAGACATCAGATTTTATTGAATATAGTCCATCTGCAGCATATTCCGGTGCCATGTATCCACTATAAAATATCCGGTAGGAGTTTAGAATAGAAGAGTTAATGAAAATAGGGATAGGATTGAGCATGATAATTTTAAAATGAGACTTGAACAAGAAACTTACTAAGTTCCCATCACTCTATTTGTATTGCCTTCTGTTTGTTCTCCTTCAAAAGTTTTAGCCAGTCCAAAATCTGATATTTTTGGAATGAACTTATCATCAAGTAAAATATTACTTGCTTTTAGATCTCTATGAATAATTCTCAATCTTGAATCTTGATGAAGGTACATAAGACCTCTACCGATTCCGATAATTATGTGGAAACGCCTAGACCAATCTAACAACTCTCCTTTGGTTTTATCTGTCCACATTAAAAGTAAATGTTACTTGAACAAAATCAATATATGACATAAAACCTTTAGCAAGATATACAATACAATTCATAAGCTATGAACAATATGATTCACCTCAAAACACTGTGTAATGCAAATGAAAATGTATGTAGTTTTTAATTCAAAATTGATAGCTGCTTCATACCATTCGCACTAAAATAGTCCCTGCAATTAACAACTTTATTAAATTTATACCAAAAATGAAGGCGTTCAAACTTCTATTGGGCATGTATTCGTACACCAGCATTTTTTCTTGTCCATGGATGCAACAACCGAGAAGTTTCACCAGATTTCGATGTTGGAGTTTTGCAATGAATTTTACTTCATTTTTAAACTCCACCAATCCCTGTCTTGATTTTATTGAAAGCCTCTTTACCGCAATTTCTTGTCCATTCAATAATTTTCCCTGCATGCAGACATTTATGAGCATATTAAGTTAATATTCATATTATGCATTGCTGATTGTTCACAGTTTATAATTCAAATGTTGATGTACCCAATAAACAGGTCCAAATCCACCTTCTCCGAGTTTGTTCTTCTTGGAGAAGTCACTAGTGGCATTTGCTATTGTTGCAAGATCAAACAGGGGGAGATCTAGATCATCCTGTGGACTCTCATCGTATTGAATATCATCTTTTACATCTTCTGAGTTAGCTGAAATCATGGTAGGAAAGCATTAACTTTATGTCCAAAAGGGGAAAAAAAAGAAAGCAATTAATATTGGTAAACTTGTTAAAATGGCAACACAATTGAAGCACCAATTCTCACTTTAGTAATTTTCGTGTCACTTGGGAAAACCTTGCATTTTAAATAACTTCACTATCAAACTATCCTAAGATTGAAATCATGAGACTGTAATATAGATGTGTACGTGTAGAGGTAAGGGTAAATCAACACTAATGACAGTAGAGTGAATCAATCCTAATTTACCCTTATCGTCTAATAATATACAGATTCTAGGAATAGGAATAAATGCGTAAGTAGAAGATTGTGAATAAAGTCCTCTGTTCAGGTGCTAAGCAGTACGCTACCTAATAATATTTATCTTGCTGTCACAAGTTTCACTTCACAAATTTTTTAGCACTATTTAAACAAACAAGAGATAAATACGTAGCTAATTTTGCTATCTGAGTTCATGAAAACCATCAAAGTTCTAGGAGGAAACATAAAAACTCTGGAACTTAACGACAATAAGAGCTGGTAACTTTACCTTTCCTGTTTCTGCTGACTCTGTAGATGATACAGCCCCCAACTAAGAGCATGCCAAGAGTTGCGCCAATGGAGATAGTAACTATCATTATTAACTTCTTTTTATTCTCAGATTCTGCAATCGTGGTTGAATCGCTCAAACATTAAGAAGCTGGTTAAAATCACAAATTGAAAGTGGCAAGTGGCAACTAGGACCCTCGAACGTGGAAATGAATATTATAAGCACAAAGTAGGAATCCTTACCAAATTCTGAAGCATCCATTCGAACGTACAGATCTTGGCCCCCAGATGCATAATATCTGACATCAATTAGATTCCCAAACCACAAGGCACAACCACTACCTCCCCCTCTGATATCTGAATTAGTATAGGCCGTGCAAGAACAATTTTCCAAGCACATCCGTCTGCATTGCTCTAGATTCATTGTCCGATCAAGCCAAGACAGCGTTGTGTCTGGCACCTTCATTCCCGTCAATTTAATGAACCCATCTTTGTATTTTTCGGAGCAGTTCAGAGGTTTATTTCGCACACATCCATCAGTCCAGTCCACCGAATTCCAGTGTTCAGGTGACTTAGGCGTAAAACCTTTTAAGCATCGGCATACTGGCGAATCGGAAATGATACAATTCCCATTTGGTCCACAGAGGCCATAGGTATCGCAGTAGTCTATTGGCTTCGTCGAATAAACCTGCCACGTTTTGATACTTTCCAGCCATACATAACGATACCGAGCAGACCCTGTTTCATTCAACACCAATCTCGTCAACACAGAATTATTATTGATAAGGTCCGTGTAGTAGTAGCCATCCTTATTGTCAACAAAGGTGTATTGGAAAACAGGGTTGGGCTTTATTTCAGGACCACCGCTCCCACGAACACCATTCCACGGTCCAAATCGGTAAAATTTTTGGGTTCCCTTCATGATATACGAATCGGGATAGTTATAGAGGACCACAGCGCAAGTTAATTCTCCAGGAGACGGATCATTCGGGCTCTTCCAAGCTGTTAAATACCATTGCCTACCAGTTTTCAAGTCCCATCCGTATTTCATACCTGGCAATAACGTGTCAGACGGATAGTCAAAGCTTTGCCATAAATATTCATCCGGGTCTGCTCCGTTCTCATCTATCACCACCAGATTTCCAGAATCCAAGAGCCGGGCGGTTGGACTCTGTGGTTTGGCCGTGGAATTTGTAGACCAAAGAACAGTGTTGTTTTGGGACAAAACGAGATCGCCGGAAGTGGTCATGGTTAAGGCAACAGATGAGTCGTTGACCGGGTTGAGGCGGTTTGCAACCCAGACAACGGTTTGAACCGGGATGTTCTTGTACCAAATGCCAAGGTAACGTTTGGTGGAAGGACCGGGAGCAAAGAAACCAAGTTGAAAGGTGCCGTCTTTTGAAACCAAGGTAGTTCCATTGTCCCTGAGGAACTGCGACTGACGAAGAGAATCAAGTGCAATGGAAGTGCCGTGGATGGGAAGAAGGAAAAAGGCGAATATAAAGAAGCGAGGAAGAAGGTCCATGAACAGAGGAGAGAGAGGGAAGGAGGAAGAATGAAGTGTTTGTGGAGTTTTGTGTTGGGCCATGTGGATCAGCTGCTTGTTCAAGGCTGAACTGAAACGACATTGCTACGCAGCGGCAATTGTTGGCAACGACGCGGACAAGGAAGCTGCTATAAAATATAATAAAGACTAGTGGCTGCCTCGTGAGTCATGATACTATCATTTTTTTTTTTTGGTTCACTGTTTGATTTGGAATAGTAAAGTTGACTATTAGTCTATTAATACTGATTTTAATTTCAACGTTGTGCAAAGCAAGCTCTGCTTTTCGGAAGAATGGAAATTGTGATCGAGAATTTCTATATATTAATTTCTAATTAAATTATCAAATCCTATCATTATATAATAAAACTGGTAAAAAATGACTTTTTCTTAAGAATCATTAAATGCTAACAAAATGATGAAAAATCACTTTTATTAGTTATCATTATTTTTTTTCTAGAACATGTCCAATGTATAGGAGCAGAATCTCTTATACTTGATTGAATTATAGAAAAAAAAAATGGAAAAGAAAGAGAGTGAAGAATATATATATATATATATATATATATATAATGTATTCGGCTATTGATGTTTTTGTCGATTTGATTATTCTGTGTTCCCACTGTTACGGGAAAAAGTCCTGGGATGAATTACGCATGGGTTTTTAAATTTTGAATAAATAAGATTTGCTTTAACAAATAAAACTCTATTGTATTTATTCACGAATCATGATGTAACGTGACATTTTTTTTTCAAATATGTTATTTTATGTAGATTTTTTAATTTTTTTTGCAGCGTAATTTTTTTAATATGAATTTGCCAGCGTATTTTTAATGATTATAAAATGATCCTTTTTTTGCCAACATTTTATAAAATGATCAATTTAATGGATTTGATATAAAACGTGAAGTATATAACAACTCCTTTATAAAATGTGATGATATCTAAACCATTTAAATTTTAGTTTAGATGATCCAAATTTAAAATATTATTTTATTTTATATTTATTAAAATAAAAATTATAAAATAATTTTAATAATTTTTTTATTTTTAATATGGTCTAAATTTAATTTATAGGGTTTAATTTAATATTAAATTTTTTATAATTATGATATATTGATTATTCAGATATACTCTATATAATCTAGATTAACATTAGATTAAATCTGAACTATACAAGATATATCTAAATAGTCAATTTATAATAATTATAAAAAAATTAATATTAAATTGAACATTTTAAATTAAATTTATACAATATTAAAAAAATTATAATTTTTATGAATTTTATTTTAATAAAAATATATAATAATATTTTAAATTTAAATTATCTAGATTTCATGACGAACACATGATGCACATAAGGAGAAGCCGTGGTTAATTAGTTGCGTTCATTCAAAATCGCTGGCAGTTGGTAGACCAAGACAACACATGAGGTTGACTCAATCTTGTTTGGCTAAAATGAGAGATATGATTGGCCGACTGGCTGCAGACGTAGCATATATCTGGAGTTTCTCTCTCCAAGGATGGTTGCGTCGATGTTCAAACGGCTGCGTTCCATGGACGGAGGCGATAAACAACGCCAATGCATGGACGAAAGCGCCCTAAGTCAAACGTTGCCTCTAAACAACTCCAAGAGACGGGGATTATACTATATTTAAAAGAAAGACAATTAACTTTTAAAAATTAAATTAATAATAATTAATTTTGTAATATTTTTTTAAAAAAATGAGTTATACTCTTTATTCAAATAGTTATAAATAAAAATTTATATTACAATTTAAGCATTACATTTAATATTATTTGTAATTAAAATTTTTGAATTTATAATTATTTGTTTTGATATTTTTAATTTATTTTAAAAAAATTATTGAAAACCTAGTGGTTATTAATATAATGTTATGAGATCTAACTTTCATTCTTCCATTATAATTCTCATTTACTTATTCATTCTATTTTTAAATATAAGAGAAAAAATCGATTCAAATAGTTTAAAAAAATTAATTAATTATAATAATTATTTATGTAATTAATTAAATAAATTTATGTAGTGACAATAAACATCGACTTTGTAAGAGATAATTTAAAGAAAATGTGATGAATGCTCTTTAAAATGTGTAATCTTTTATAAATAAAAACAAAGATACAGAATAGTTTCTTTTATATTCGAACAGAAAAGAGTATATTCCAGTATCATATGATATTATAGCTAGCTTCATTGAACAAATCATCCACTCAATCTTCAATATTATCGTACACGTACAAGTATATATACCACTATAATCTTCATTGACTTTAACTTTTACAACATGCATTAGCTAGCTTCACATTGTTCGTTCCTTGATCGACCTCCTTGAGACTCAACGTCAATGCCCCGTCATAAATCAATAAATATTCAGTACGAATGGGGAGCGGATCTACTTGAACCTTGAGGGGGGCCACTTCATTGCAATTTTCATGCATGGGAGTGTATTGCTATTGTGCGCCTCAGCATGGGGAGTCCCACCCCTTCTTTAATAAAAATATTACCCCCTACACTTGTATATAATTTCTTATAATGTTGTTAAATAAAAATATACTCCCTCCATTTAAAAATCTAAACTATTTTTATGAAAAAGATATTAAAAATATAAGATATTTTAAATTTTTAGTGTGCAATTAATATGATATTTTTTTAAATATACCCTTAATTAGGAAAGTGTAATTAATAAAAATTTTAATTGAGATATTCTATTAAATAAAGATAAACATATAATATTTTTTTTTTCAGGTTAATTTAGTTTAAGTACATGGAACATGTAATTTTTTTTAAGTTTCTATTATATGTATAAAAAACATACTAGGACTTAACTTTCTTTTTTATCTTAAAAAATTATATAATTCTAAATGATTCCTATCCTATGATTTTTTTTATGTTGTAAAAGTATTTTAATATATTTTTTAAAAAAATATCAGTATATATAATAACTTTTTTTTTAATTTGGCCCCCAAGGCCCCAACCCTTCTGTTAGTGTCCCACCCCTGGGGCTAACTTCCAGCAGCCAATTTTTTTCACGCCAATATCACCAAAGGTTCATAAAACTTGCCCCTAGATACTTCTAGCTAAAACAAAAAAACTGAAAGGGGTTTTTTTTTCACTAAAAAAGTTTCAATGAATTAAGTTCTGAAAACTTATGAGAACCAAAACATATCTCTAGTTTAAATAATATTTAGAGAGGTATTTATATATTATTCACCAACAGAACAACGAGGTCCTCATATCAAAAGCAACATTTAATCTCACAATCTTTTATTTTATAAATGTAATTCTTAATAATTGGAGCAATCTTTATTAGTACACGAGACGATGCAAGAGAGTACATAGATCGTGTTGTCCACTTAACTATATATTAAGGGACATTTAAAAATAGTGTGTTTTGTATATATTTTATTTACATAGTAAATTTTGCCAATGACAACCACTTCGTCCCGGGTCACCAACTCAATTTTTTATTTTCTGCTATCATCATCTCTCTTAGCATGTTATTACTAGCTAACTAGATTTTCTCTGCCAAATTGCGAGCCTATGTTAATATATTGGTTTATATAATTATATAGTGCTGCCATCTTTCTCTTCCAAAATTTTATATGGAGCTTGAAGTCCCGAAAATGTCATCGATCGTCTGCAACACACAACTCATAATTCTTTACCAATGGAGGGTTTCCGCAACAATACCTACTCATCAGGCACTTTCTCCGCACAATGATTTTCAATTCACTTGTACATTAATTTAAAACAGATGCAATGAACGTCCAAATTTACAGCTCACCATAACATAATCAGATTCATCTGGCTTCAAGTAAGGAAATAGTGATTTCATTGGTCAAGCTGCGTTCCTTCTGACTAGAACTACGTTGTTGGAGTACTGAGCCCTTGCGGTGAAAGAATCCTGGTTGTTTAGGTTGAGGAAGTTCAATCTCACTTTCCAACATCAAAATTGCAGAAGCTATGGTGGGTCTGTCCTCTGAATTGTGTTGCACACATAACAGACTCACATGAATACACCTTAACACTTTTGATTCGCTACATTCTTCCTTTATCTTCCTGTCAACCAATTCTAAAGCCTTTCCTTTCTTCCATTGCATCCATGCCTGAAATCACATACAAATTGTTCATCATTTATTATCTTTCAATTTGACATCAAAAGAAGATTGTAACATATTGTATCTAGGATACTCACAAAACCAGCAAGATTGTGTTTTGAGTCTTCTACATAAAACCCTCTATTTTTCTTTCCACATATAATCTCCAGCACTAATATCCCATAACTAAAAACATCAGATTTTATTGAATATAATCCATCAGCAGCATATTCTGGTGCCATGTACCCACTACAAAATAATCATTAGAATTTTATGACAAAGTAATTAACAAAGGTATGGAAAGATTGGAGTTTCCTAACTTGAAAGTAAAGCTTTGGACAAGAAACTTACTAAGTCCCCACTACTCTTTTTGTATTGCCTTCTATTTCCTCTTCTTCAAAAGTCTTTGCCAATCCAAAATCTGATATTTTAGGGATTAACTTGTCATCAAGTAAAATGTTACTTGCTTTTAAATCTCTATGAATAATTCTTAATCTTGAATCTTGATGAAGATATATAAGACCTCGACCAATTCCCATAATAATATCAAAGCGTTTAGACCAATTCAATGACTTTCCTCTAGATTCATCTGTTAACATCAAAAGTCATAAAAATCAAATCAAATCTATTAAACTCAAGATTAATTCAAGCTTGATAAGCTATTTAATTATTGGTGCTAAAATATTCAACAAAATGTTAAACTCATTAGGATTTATACCAAAAATGAAAAAGTCATGGTAGAAGAAAGGTACCAAAAATGAAAGAATCCAAACTTCTGTTTGGCATGTATTCATATACCAACATGTTTTCTTGTTCATAAATGCAACAGCCAATAAGCTTTACAAGATTTCGATGTTGTAGTTTTGCTATAAACTTGACTTCATTTTTAAACTCGACCAATCCTTGTCGTGATTTCCTTGATAGCCTTTTCACAGCAATTTCTTGGCCATTTGACAATTTTCCCTGCATGTAAACATGAGCAAGGATAGATTTTC